AAGGAAACGAAATTCCAAATCCAAGAATTTCAAGTTTTTGTTTCTAATCCAAGAAACGAATGTAAGACAAGTTTTTTGTTTGAATAATCTGATTTTTTCATTCACATTTGCTTGCTATTTATAGTAAACAAGCATCCTTAAGTACAAGCTAACTTAAGTGGCTGTTCAGCTCACTTGTTACACGCCTAAGCTAAAGCTAAGTACAAATCAACTTTTGTTGTCTAGATACATTAATAAAAGAAGCCTTATTTAACTAGATACATTAAAGAGAAAATGGTGGCTTATAACCTCCAAATTAAGGCTGAAATAAAATCAGAATTAAGAGAGTGTAACTCCCCTTAATTCACGCCCATCCAAGCAGCAAGTTGGAGATGTATTTCCTCCAATATTCACGCCCAAATTCAAACAGCAAAGAAGTGTAATTCCAAGCTTAAATGGCTGCCATTTTGATGTATCTTTGCACTTGTACTTTTGTGTGAATGTGACAATATTTTTCGAACTAAAATCAGCTAAAAAGAACTAAGAAAAAATATAACTAATTTGCAAACTTAAAATGACTAAAGTTTACAATTTATTCAAAGTATTAAAAGAACTAGAATAAACTAGTTAATAAGAACAACAAGAAATTCAAGGGGTTGAATATCTTGCTGCCCAAGGATAGAATGCATAGCACCAATACATGATGCTACGTCTTGAACCAAAGAAATGTCCATAACCAAGTTGTTAGGCTTGGCTACAACATTATGTACCAAAATAAACTGGAATAAACGTTTTTATATAAAGGACACAAAATGGATGATTTTAAAGGACACGAAATGAATTATTTTGGGTTTAAAGGCACGAAAAGAGGAAAATAAGTTATGGTTTGGGGAAATGGGATAGGAATTTTATTGGTTTTATGAAATGGAAATATGGATTTAAGCACTCCAAGATTAAATACTTAACCCGACCACTAATGGCGGTGAAAGGTTGTTCATCATCGGGTTTGGTTTTGAGGAGACATTTTTAGGTGTCTACAGTAACGGATGATGATGAAGATAATCACTTTAATGAAACAAGTGGATGATAGTTCATTTTTAGTGTTAATTTTATTTTTATGTGATTACAGATTAATAGATTATAGCACCTAGATAAATTATCTAATAGATACTATAAATTACGAAGTACTCCGTATCTAATATGTAAATACTTCGTATGTATTATGTACTACAGATTAATAGATGTACCTTAGATTGTATTATTTTTTTTCGAGCAAAATATGAAATTGTATATTTGTTTTCGTAATTTTTCTTTTAAAATATAATGTAGCAAGAGACCACCTATCTAACATAACTGGTGTCTCTTGAACTCATAAAAGAGACTGCTTTTGTAAGTTCACGGGTCTCAATTTTTAAAACGAGAGACCGCTTTTCTGACAAAAAGGGTCTTTTATGCTTCTACAATTTTAATATTTCAACCTCCCAAAGAGAATGCTTTTCTAAGATAACAGGTCTCAAGTTTTGAAACTTTAGACTGCCTCTAAAGAAGAAGTCTCTTAGCCAAAGAGACCGCTTAGCTAGAGACCGCCTCTAAGGCAGTCTCTTTGGCTAATTTGGACGGGTCTCTTTGGCCAATTTTGTAGTAGTGAATTATTTGCAACAAAGAGGTATATATTATTTGTGAGATACAAAATATCCCTTTGTTGCAAATAATAGTTCATAGTTAACGGAGGTAGTATTAAATTAGCGATATAATATCGTATGTAAATATCTTGCCTTTACAATGTTATTTACGCGTAACACTCAAGTCAAAAGTTTATCCTAAAGTTTTATCAATAATCTGGGCAATACTATACGAAGGCCCTGTTCTTTTGAACTTCTGGGCAGAGTAGGGGTCAGCAGAGCAGAGCAGAGCATAACCGATTTCAGGATAGCAGAGTAGAGCCGAGCAGAGCAGATTTCAACATTATTATTAATATTATTATTAATGTTATTATTATTAATACTATTATTAATGTATGTTACTATTATTAATGTTATTATTATTAATGTTTTTGTCATTATTATTATTAATATAATAATATTATTATTATTATTATTATTATTATTATTAAGATTGTCTTCTACTTAATCGCGAAGTTCATGTAATGCAAGAATCATGATGTCTAATGTTATCATCTCCCATTCTACGTTAAATAAAATAAGATAATGATAAACAAGATGTCCAAGTAATAAACCCCAAATATAACAATAAACAATACTTTTAAGTCTCGACAAACCAAATTTAAACCATAATAAAACAACACAACTAGTTCACCAAATTAAAAGACAACACAAAGGTCAATTGAAATAATAATAATAATAATAATAATAATAATAATAATAATTTTACTAACAATAATAATAATAATTAATAATAATAATAAGGGAAATTCTCTTTGGTGAACTCTAGCTTTTCGATTTTTTAAGTGGTAAACATTCTTAAATTTTATTATCAATGGTAAACCTAAATTATTGATTACCATTGATAAGTGTTATTTCCTTAAATATAGATAGTTTTTTATTTTTTTGGGAAATTCTCTTTGGTGAACTCATACTTATTAATTTTCTCAGTGGTAAACAAAGAAAAAATTATTATCGTTGGTAAACCCTAATTATCTTTACTAATCCAATGGTAACATTAATGATGATTTGATGTAATTTCTTAACCATGGTTAATGTTTTTTTTATAAAAAAAAAAATTAAAATTCCTAAAATGCCCTAACTTAAAACAACCTACCATCATCTTCTTCCTCCTTAATCCTTACCTTCTCACTTTCAAGCTCCCACCCAGTCACCACTTCAGCCACCTCCACCCACCCCACCACGCCGGCGTTGGCACCTATCCCTCCCTCGCCGGTGTGTCAGCCTCCCTCACCCCTGCCTCATTTCTCCTTCCCCTTTCCTCTCCTCGAAAACCATGCACCCCAAACCCTTCAAACCACCGCAAAAAACACCCAACCCTTCAAACCTCTTCATCCCCCCGCACAAACCGCTGCAAAATCAACACATTTCCCCTACCTTTGCAAGTACCATTGAAATCAGGCCGAAATTAACTAATCGAGGGCTAGTGAAATAGCGTAAATTGATTGAAAATCGCAAGAAATGAAGAAGACTTATGTGGTGGAGAAGATGAGGAAAGGGCGTTTGAGGCGGCGTCGCCTATGAATTTGGCGGTGGGGTTTGAAGTTGAACTGGATTGCGTGGGAGATCACAATTTTTCTTTCAGCCGTTTTGAGGGCGAAGAGTCAGGGAGGGTCGTTTTGGGGTTGCGACATCTCAGGTTAAGCTAGGGTGACGGTTCTGGCCGAGTTATTTCGGGGTTGTGGCGTCTCAGATTGGGCTAGGGTGAGTTCGGCGTCGGTGGTCATGATGTTGCTATGGTAGGTGATGGTGGTGTGAAATTGTTGTGGTTAGGTGGTGGTGGTGGTAAGGGCGATGAAGTTATCAAGGGATAGGGCTGGTGGGGCGAAGGAGTATACCATCGACTTGGTTGGGCTTGCGGCGGTGGGGCTAGCCGATGATGGTGTGTAGGGAAGCCAACGGTGGTGTTTGCGGCTGAGTTAGGGTTTAGGGCGATTTGGGTGGGCGGTGGTTCTGGTTGTTGGGCAATACTTTCTGGGTTGAAAATTTTGGGAAAAAAATTATTAGGGTTAAATTAGTCATTAAGCCTTTAGTTAACTAGAGTTAAGGTTATAATATCATTAAGTTTACCATTGAATAATTATAACTAATTAAAGTCTACCAATGACAATAATTTTTTTCTTCGTTTACCACTAAGAAAATTAAAAAGTATGAGTTCACCAAAGAGAATTTCCCAATTTTTTTTAATTATATTGAAATTATATAAAAAAAAACCAATCCCTCCTCCAACCCACTGCCCAGCCCCCTCCCGGTGGTCGGAAAACGCCGACCTCCCCTAGCGCCGACAACCTCTACCTCCTCCCTTTCCTCCACCTACGACACCTCCACTCTCCCTGTTGGAATTGACCTCCTCCCCCTCCTGCCACCGCGCAAAACCCCATGACCAACCCCCATCTCGTCGGCAAATGGTCGGCCGTCTCCCCTATCACCCGAAAATGGCCGGCCAACCACTCCTAACCCCAAAAACCACCCCTAACTGACCCACACCAACCCCAAAATTCGCCCACTCTCCCTCGAAAATAACCTCTCACCACCACAAAACCCAAACCCGTTTCCCCTACACCACGACCCTCTCCCTGTCGGAATCGACCCTCCTCCCTTGACCCCCCACCCTGATTCGACCCCTATCCCCTTCGCCTCCCCGAAAACCAGCCCTCTAAACCACCTAAAAACTCAAACCCGATTTCTGGGTTTGGTTTATAAACCCTAAACGGGTTTGGGTTTTTTTGGTGTTTTTGGGTTGGGTTTAGTGTTTCTAGGGCGGCGAACAGAGGTTGGGGGAGGTCGAGGTTTCCAGGGATGGGGGAGGGACGACGCAACGATGAAGGTTGGGCGGCCAGTGCGCCGACGTGGGTGGGTGCTGGGGAGGGGGAGCTTGCAGTGGGTGGGGGGAAGGGGTGGTTGATTTTTTTTTTTTTTTATAAAAAAATTTAGTATAATTATTAAATTATTAAAAAAATAATTAAAAACCTAACTATAGTTAAAGGTTATTGTTACAAAAATAAAAAAACCTAACTATAGTTAAATTTTTAATAAAATATAATAATTAATGGCACCATTAATAATTATAAAAAGTTTATGAGTACCAAAGATAATTTTAAAAAACTTTGTTTACCACTTAAAATTTTATAAAATTGAAGTTTACTAAAGAGAATTTCCCTAATAAGAATAATAATAATAAATATTAATTAAAATTAAAATTAGATTATTGAAATAATTATTATTATTAATTATTATTTGAAAATAGAGCACAGCATTGTATAGCAAATTTCTTTTGAGCATAACATATTAGATTTGATTTGAGCAGAGAACACAAGGGGTCAGCATAGCATAGCAGAGCAGATCTAAAGAACGGGCCAGAATTATTCACCTTGCAATCGTTGTAAAAATAAAACAAAAGAGTAAATAATTGATTTTCCCCCAACCTTTCTTTCGTTGCCCTTCTCTCTCCTCTTTGTTGCCATCAGTTTTCTTCGATTTGTTGATCTGCTTCACAGACATATACTTACCTGCTCTGATCTTTCCTTTCTTCCACCTTTTTACTACTTATTACTGGATTGCCGACAAACAGAGATTGTTATAGATAATCTTTGTTAGCACTCATTTTGTTCAAATGCTATCATTTTTCACTGAATAGCCTAAGAAGATGAAGATTGATTTTTGAAGGTGAAAAAGATTGATTTTTGTGAGTTTTGTGAAATTGGGGTGGCTTGGATTTGCTTGGTTTTTCTGATATGGGTGGGTGTTTTCCTTGCTGGGGATCATCCAACCAAGCTGGGAAGACTGACAAAGAAGCCGCTAACAAAGACGGTGTGAAAGAAAATACTTCAATTATTCAGTCTAATCAACTGGGAAAAGTTAATTCAGGTTGAAATTTATCCAAATGCTTGTTTATTTTGAAAAAAATTAGAAATAAAAATAATCTTCAATTTAGTTTTCTGAAATTTTGTATTTCTTGGAAATTTGGTAGTTTAATTGGTTGGTGAAGGTCATTTGGGCGTGTTTTGAATTTTCTTGTGTTTAATTTCACTGTTGAGTATCCCATTGCTTTGATCTGTTCTCCTTTGTTGCTGTTGTTTCTTAATTTCGTGTAGCTTCTATAATTTGAGCGTCCTTTGAAGTTGATTTGGAGATTGGATGGCGTTTTTAGTGTTTGAGTACACGAAGGGTAATGATGTAGATGGGATTGGATCCTCGGTTTTGGATACCACCCCTGGAATTTTAACCTACTAAGATACTTAGCATCTACAAAAATTGGATAGTGTTGAGTCTGCCATTTCCTGGTTTTCGGTCGGTTGCTAAAGTAGGTTGAAGATCTATATTACTTGTCTATGATATAACAAGGTGCTTTAATTTGTTATTATGCCTATCGAATTTCCAGAATTTAAAGTTTATTATTGGTAAAGGGGACCAAGGAAGCTCATTTGATGTTAATTGTGTTATTTGTGAGATACATACATATACTAGTAGTTTATGGGGTGAAAACAATCATTAATTGAGAAGAAGATAAGTTTGGATTGTATATTGTATGAAGGACAAATGCTGGTTTTCCAACGATATTAGGGCGAGTTTTCTTTATTCCAGATGATTCTCACTTGTGTATCTATATTCTAAAGGTGTTATTTTCGCAAGGACTTTGGGAAGAGTTGTACATTACATGTTCAATATTTTTTTTTGGCTATTTGGTTATGAAATTCCAGACAATAGCTATTTAGTTCTAATCTGTAAATTGTGTCTGAGGTTATTCGGAAACCTTTAATTTAGAGGATAGATTGTCTGCTAGGTATAGTTAAGTTCAAACATTGTGCCTCAAAGAAGAAGATTAGGGTGACAGTATGATACTTAGTTTATATCTTTGGATATTGATTTGGTAGTTCTGGGTTTTAATTGTTGTATTAAATTCTAAAGATACACAGGTTTTCTTCTTTGATTATGGCCCCTATAATGTTTATTCTTATCTGATGTGTAGATAAATCGAAGAATCGCAATGGTTCTGATCCAAAGAAGGAGCCAGCAGTTTCAAAGGATGGATCAACTGCTCATATTGCTGCACAAACATTTACATTCCGGGAGCTTGCAGCTGCCACGAAGAATTTCAGACCAGAAAGTTTGTTGGGCGAAGGAGGGTTTGGACGTGTTTATAAAGGTCGCTTGGAAAGCACTGGACAGGTATATCAGATCTAATGTTGGGACTTTTTGAAACATAGATTTTATCTTTTATCCCTTATTATCTTGAAAGCATTACTAAACATATGCACCTAGTTTACACCTTCCTTTATACAAGTGGAAACTCGCTATCTTTGGAATAGGGAAGTGTTCTATATCCCCTAAACTAGAACTATTGGCCTTATAATCCTGTGTCATCCTTGAGAAAGGAGACATTGATATCATCAGATGTGGGCTTTTTTGAGCTTGAAACAGCAGGAATCACAAATTGCTACTTTGTTGCATCGTCAACAACTTTGCTAGTTGCTTATATTTTTAGCATTGGATGAGTTTCTAATCTGGTAGTTATCTTTGTGCAGGTAGTTGCAGTGAAACAGCTTGATCGAAATGGACTTCAAGGCAACAGAGAATTTTTGGTTGAGGTTCTTATGCTCAGTCTCTTGCACCATCCAAACCTGGTCAATTTGATTGGATATTGTGCTGACGGGGATCAACGGCTTCTTGTATATGAATATATGCCGTTGGGTTCATTGGAGGATCATTTACATGGTAAGTGGTGACTACCTTTTGCTTATCACTCAAATTTTTGTTCGGTGATTAGCAATTGCTAAAAGCCTACAACCTCATGATTTAATGAAAGATTTGGATTAACGATCCAACTTTTATGAGTTTGAGGCGTTTGGCATGGATGTTCCATGATCTTATCTCTTGAAGGATGGTTTATTTGTGTATTTAAGACCTTGGAACCTCTTTTTAGACTACCGTTTTGTTGAAAGTGAGTTTGTCTGGCTCTGCTTGAATTATTCAGTATATAATATTTTATTGTCCCAGCATGTTGATTTGCACTTCCTGTACATTATTGACTTGACCTGTTTGATACCACGTTTTGTAGCATGAAAATGGCTGGAAGCTCATTTCTGCTGTTTAGACTCTTAGACTGCTCATAGATAAGGCAAGAAATTGATTATACACATCTTATGCTGTGCACTACTGCACTTTTTGTCAAATTGAGCAACTTGAAGTTGTATTTACTGTTTCCTTTTATTTGATTTTATATTAATAATAATATTATTATAAATTTTTTTTGAGGGAATTATATTTTGACTTTTACCACAAAAAAAAAAATTCAAAAAATTGTTTTTTGCCACCAAAGTATTTATTTTTTTTATAATTTAATTCAAAAAAATTCAAAAAATTTCCTATAATTTAATTCATTTTTTTATTTATTACAAAGTATTTATTTTTCTTTTGTCAGTGTAAGTTGAAAGTTTTTGAATATTTGTTGGGTGAATTTTCTAGGTACCTTGATACTCCATTGTTGTGTTGGAGTTGGTAGTCTTGAAATTTCTCGTCAAATAGCCAAATTTGGCCTCCCTAGCTTGGCCCTAGTCATTCTGAGATATTGTATATTACTGCTATTTGGCCCTCAGCTTGGTGCTTTTCAGCTTACGTTGTTATATATGTGATGTTGTATATCAAGTAAACTGATTTTTATTGATTTCTCTTGCATAAATACCAAAGTCAACATTGCATTAGCACCAATGTCAATTTTTGAAGTACATATAAAGTTGCACAGAAGTCTTGGTTTGCTTCCCCTACCCTTCCTCTCTTTCAAGTTGTGACATCTTAACTGATAATTAGTTATACCTTCCTGGGCATTTGTTAGCATGGTTCTGGTTGATATGACTACTCCATTCATATGTTATCCCTGAGGTTTATCCTTTGCAGACTTTAAATTGTCTTTTGGGCAAACACTTAGCATTATTTCTGGCTTGGGATGACGAAAAATTCTATCATTGATGTCATTATGCTTTAGATTTGATGCAATTTTAGTTTGGTGACATGCCGACATCTATATTAGTTAAACCCTGTAGTGACATGAAGTATTTTGATACTTGCTTTGGGACTTTTTTCAAGTTTAGACCAAACCCAAGTGTGTTACTTAATCTGCTATGATGACCTCGTGGGAAACTTTTTATTTGTTGAGTTTCGCTATGAAAAGTGACTTCAAGTGCCCAATTTATCCAATTTCATATAAGTTGCAGTATCCTCTTGGGAACTGGTTTAGAGTGTAATGGGCTACAAGAGTTGATTAAATGAATGTTAAAAGTCTGAGTATTTAAACTTTGTTCACTTATGCTTCTTCAGTTATCATTTGCTATTAAGAACTCTTTTGTTCTATTCTGAAAGAAAGAAAGTTGTTTTTTTTTTTTTTTTTTTTTTTTTTTTTTTTTTTTTTTTAAAGTGTGGTTTGTGAGCTCTGGAGATTTTATTTAATATGGCTTTTTCTGAAGTTGCTCGAAGTGTTAATCCTTTGGACAAAGTTACTAGAGATCCATTTATAGCATTTAGAAATGAGAAATACGAGTGGTTAGTCTGGAAGATTAATCAGAAAAGGTTAATTTTTGTCCATGTAAGCAGATTTCAGTTGGTATCCGCCCCTCTTTTTCCCAGGAAAGTTTAACCATAGCTTTGCACATTTGATGCCCACCCTATCCACCCTCATGGACAAAATCCTTGTTAAGTAGGTAGCAAAATAATATTATGCTATTCTAAGGCCATGAATGTGTAGTGATCTTACTCTAGTTAACATTAAAAATTGCACACTTCCTGTCCCATCAGTGGGAGTGAAGGGAAAAACTTTGAAGAACCTTGAATCATTTGTTGTTTCTCCTATGCTTCTTAGAAATTTCCTTGGCTGTTTGTTTCTGTTATGGAATATGGATACAATACTACTTACCTCCATCTTTTTTAGTTGACACATATTCCTTTTTAGGAAGTTTATTTCTTGCTGACACGTTTCTTTTTTGGGTAAGTTTTATTCCTTGTTTTTTAGTGTACCCCACTTGCTTTATCATTCTCTCCTCTCCTTAATATGTGTGCCTAAATTGACCATGTGAACTAAATAGAAACGGAGGAAGTATTTATTTATTTAAATGAGTTTCTGATCTTAGCTGTTTCTTTCTTTTGGGCTTGACATGAATGTTAAAGTTTTGTTACTGTGGCGAGTGACAGATCCAATCTAAAGATTAAAGAGTACGAAGGTCTTAGTCCTTTTTGTCCAGCAGTGTTGTTTTGTATCCTGGATCTGTTCTGATATCCATATCTATTTGTGAGCTCCGGTTTCCTCTTATTTTTGGACTTCTTAGACCTTATTCAAATTTTATTGTCAAGTCTTTTTCGAAGAACATAGTTTCTTTTTCTTGGAAAAAAAAATCTCTCATTCTAAGTATTGAATGCAAATTCACATAATCATTTATCTGGCTATGAAAGATATTGTTATCAGTGGCACTGATAATTTAAAGTCAACTATTACACTTTCAGCGAGATGATGGGAGTAAACCGGTTTGTTGGTTGTACTGCCTGTACATGTTAGGTTAACAGAGAAGTATTGTGGTGAACATTATTGCTTAGTGCTGTATAATACCCTTATTTCCTTCTGATCATAACACATAATGGCACACTTTTTAAGAAGGAGAGAGAAGTCTTCACTCACTTTGTATTATCTGTCTATGTGACCTACCCTTTTCTACCCCACTTCCAATCCATATGTAAGGGCCTTTTTGGTATTATAATTAGTAAGCCTTACCAAACATACAAGTGTTGTAATTTTAGGAAATGGATAAAGTATATAATCCTTTATTTATTTGGGGATAAGGGTCATTGTGTTGTGGTACTGATGGATATTATGAGAGATCCCATTCCAGTTCATTTATGTTCTGATGTATCTTTATAAATTCATGTAAAAAAAAAAAAAAAAAATCTTTAAACTGTTTAATTTGAGTATTCACTTTTACATAGTCTTTAAAATGCTGTTCATTAAACCACTCTTAACAGACATCCCACCTGGCAAAGAGCCTCTTGATTGGAATATACGAATGAAGATTGCAGCTGGTGCTGCCAAGGGCTTGGAGTATTTGCATGACAAAGCAAATCCCCCGGTTATATACCGAGATTTAAAATCGTCCAACATTCTTCTGGATGAGGGATATCATCCCAAGTTATCCGATTTTGGACTGGCAAAGTTGGGCCCTGTCGGAGACAAGACTCATGTCTCCACTCGGGTTATGGGAACTTATGGTTACTGTGCTCCTGAATACGCTATGACTGGGCAACTCACTTTGAAGTCTGACGTCTACAGTTTTGGGGTTGTTTTTCTTGAACTCATCACTGGACGAAAGGCCATTGATAACACTCGGGCACCTGGAGAGCATAATCTTGTTGCTTGGGTAAGTTTTACTTGAATAACATTCATCTTTTAATGTTAAATTGTCTCATTATATGTACACAAAAATGCATTTGGTATTGGGAAAGCAAGTCTTTTATTCATACTAGCAACCATCCGTTGAGCGGGTATCAGTCTGATGACCTAGATTCCTGGTGAACTTCCCTAGGAAGCTTATATGTAGCTGAAATTGGTTGCCATGCATTTAAAGATGCTATTCACTGTAGTCTATACACCATCAAAGTGTTGGCCTAGTGGTAAGGAAAGAGCCTTCCAACCTTGAGGTTGGGGGTTCAATCTCTAGTATGGAGCACTTTGAGGGTAGGATTCCCTAACCCAGCTGACCTGTGAGAGGTTCTAAACTGGGAGGAGAATTCTTACCTCCCAAAAAAACAAAAAAAAAAAAAAAAAAACTAGGATCTTTATATATTGCCTTTTTTTTTTTTTTTTTTATTATTTATATATTGTTTATTTATTTGATTGTTTTTGGCTTTTGAGGTGGGGGTTCGGGGGGGGGGGGGTGTTTGGGATTTTGATCATGTACAGTAGGGCTTTGATCATGTAGAGTAGGGGGATTGATTAGGGCTTTGCATCTAACAATGAATTCATAAAATTTTGTATGATACATATAATTGGTGTAGCTCATAACTTAATGATAACAATGAAACGTTAAGAACCATGATCTAACATGAATAAATTTTTATACCTATACACACTCTTGCAGGCACGTCCTCTTTTCAAAGATCGTAGGAAGTTTCCCAAAATGGCGGACCCTCTGCTGCAGGGACGTTATCCAATGCGAGGTCTTTACCAAGCTCTTGCTGTTGCAGCAATGTGTCTACAAGAACAAGCTGCCACTAGGCCTCTTATTGGGGATGTTGTGACTGCTCTTACATATTTGGCATCACAAACCTATGATCCAAATGCACCTAACAACCAGAGCGGTAGAGTGGGACCCTCTACACCTAGGAGTCGAGATGATCGGAGAAGCTATGGTGATAGTTTAGATAGTCCAGATAGGCGTGCTGCTCGTTTGAGTTCTCCTTCTACTGTAAGGAATTCTCCAGACTTTAGAAAGAGGGACCATGGTCGAGAACTGAGCACTGGTGCAGAGTTAGGCAGGAGTGAGGTGGGAGGTGGGTCAGGAAGGAGATGGGGCTTAGATGACATGGAAAGACAAGAATCACAGAGAGGAAGTCCTGCTAGTTCTGGAAGAACACCAAGGAACCGAGATATAGATAGAGAACGTGCCGTTGCAGAGGCCAAAGTATGGGGTGAAAATTATAGAGAGAAAAAAAAGGCAAATGCAATGGGAAGTTTTGACAGCTCAAATGAGTAGCTGAACCCGAATTCCACTTTCAGAATTTGCAAGAGGTAGGAAAAAAAAAAATCATCCATCTTGGTGAGAGATTAAGGAATGCTTCTGCGGATGTCTCAGCTTTTACTGTCTTGGTTTCCAATTTTCCGCCTGCAGTAAGGGTCTGTTCTTGTATCCCACCTTCAACTGTTGGTTTTTCAGTGAGGATGGAGCAAAATGTGTATGTTTTTGTGGTTGAGAAGATGGTGATGCAGTTGAATGATCCTGTAACAGAGGGTTTAGTGTCTGTCAGTGATTGTGAGCATTGACAGGTTCATTATACCTTCAATGTTTTTAATGTATTTAGGGTTTAGGAAGTACAGTGTAGAGGAGCCACTTTGGGAAAGTGTTAAAACCTGTATCCCTGTTATAATGTTGGTGCATATTGCCTGTTGGGGAGACTTGGAAGGTCTGGTTTTTCGGGTGTCTCATTGCTCTGTCATTACATCCTTGTATTAAGTACAGTCTTTTTCTTTTTTTTTTCCCCTCTTATCCCTTCAAATTATTGAGTCAGTCATGTTTCCGGCGTAGAGGAGTTTGGTGGTATCACTATCGTTCCATGACAACCACCCTTATATCAGCTATATGTCTGTACTCTTATGCATATATTTTTTGTTATTGGTTTAATGGTTTGCATTTCATTGTCTGAGTCCTATTTGGTTCTAGTGTTTTTTGAAGAATCTAGTCTATCTTATTCCTCAGCTTATTATTTTTTTTGTGAGAGAGTTTCTGGCAGTTTGATTTCATTTATCAATTCTGTAAGCTATAGTGTTAATAATGGTAATACACTGTTTCATGAGCCTAGCTTAGCTAGCTTGCTTATTAACAGATTGAGAACGTTACTTTAGAATTACTTTTTTTGCTGCATGAACAAGAAAAATGTGTTATCATGATGACCCTGTCCTTTTGGACTTATTCTGACTAAAATGTAATCAGATGAACTATAAAATTGAATAAACCTAAACTTAAATGATTTTTTTTTTTTTTTTTAATTTTTTATTTTTTTTGAAAGAAACTGAATTGGACTTGACTGAAAATAAGTCCAAAATAATAACTCAAACAAATCTAACATGGTTTCTATTTGCAATTTTTCATTATGCAGCATAAATTTTGGGACTTAATTAATATTCCGCCTGTTTTTATTTAAGCGCAACAATTTTACTTGGACAATTTGTGCATCACTCTTGCAAGTGTGACTGAATTTTATTTTTCCCTTCAAAACTTAAGCCTAAATTTCATATAACAACTAACCCCATCCTCTTTGTTACTACTCAACCTAAAAACACAATTTTTAAAATTTCGTCAATTGAAGAAGGGGAAAGTAATTGGTCAAACTTTTTGAATTGTGGTTTTTTTTTTTTTGAAATTTTTTTTTAACCGAGTAGTTGTTGACAAAATAACCTATTAGGTGACTAGTTCCTGACAATTTTTCCTATATTATTAGTAAAAGTTGTGCATTGACAAGTATTTATTGGTAAAAGTGGGACATTATATAAAAAATTAAAAACAGAGGGTGCAAGTGTTAGGTAGAATGACGTAAAAACAAATTTAAGCTATCTATGTAAAACAGAGGATGCTCAACCTGAAACTAATACATGTCGCTCTTACGATGAAAACATTCCCGCCTAATTACGCAATACTATTTATGGTAATTCTAAAGTTCATTGCAGTTTATTAGTTAATACGTGTTTCGGGGGTTTTTTGGATTTCCTTTGGGATACCGGTCGCGCTCCTTCGGACAGATGAGCTTGAAATCTGCAAAAGAACGAATATCCCATTGTCAGAATATTCGCCTTCGACGGTCAAGTTTGTAATCGAAAATCGGAAAAGCTAGAGAGAGAAAGTAGAGAGAAGTTGGAGCTTGAGTGTGCTCTTAAATGTTATGTCGCAATCCCCCCTTCCCATCATAAATGATTGGGGTACTTATAGGGGTGGGGAATTGTGCCCCTTAGAGTTGCTACCCTAATATTCTGCACTTTGATTGGCGGTGCAATCAGGAGAGGACACGTGTCCTAAGGGGTGCTGTTTTGCGGCTTTCTCGGGATTAGGGCCTCCTGATGTAAGGAGACCCTTTATTCTCTTTTTCAGGTGCTCATGTAATAGTTTTACATGTATCATCTTCCTATAGGGACTCGTGTTGCTTTTTAATTTAAGCCACGTGTCTTTATGGGATTGGACCACGTATTTGGGGTATTTTTACCCTAAACATTTGCACCTCAGAGGGGGTGACTCGTACGTTACGAGCCGCCTCCTCTAAATCTCACTTATCTTGAGGACTTAGGTTTTGTGAGCAACTCAAAATTCTAGCAAATGTCGGACATATTCATCCTTTTATTCGGAAGTTTTTGGACTAAAGCCTTGTACGGTTCTCCTGATTTCCCTAAGGAATCTTGTCTAGTAGTCAGGTGGACGGTTTAGGCCGAATGACTTTTGGGAAACGATTAATTTCTTTCCGGATTTTTCGGAAAAATGTTTCAAGTTCTAAGAGGAACGTTAAGTTTGACGTGTCTTTATGACGCCCGTCTGAATTCCCGTCTTTAATGACGGAACGGTTTTCAACCGTTTGACTTCTGGGTTAAACTTTTTAAAGAGTTTAACTGTTGGACTTCTTTAGGAGGGAAAAGGAATTTTACCATCTTGCCCCTATTAAATTTCGCCTATAAATAGCGGGGGTTTGACCTCATTTTGTTACTTTAGTTTATTTCACTTTCTAGAGAGAAGTCAGAGCTTCTAGTGAGAGAAAGTTGAGTTTTCTTTGAATCTTTGAGATTTTTACCGTGCATTTGGAGTTTCCAGGTCAAAAGGTTGAGTTCTCAAGTCAATCTTCAACAAGATCTTCAAAGTCTTCAAGTTTTCTACTCGGACAGAGGTAACCGAATACTTTCTTTTCTCTTTCCTTTTATCCTTTTCTTTTTATACTGTTTTATTTCCAAACACACTGGTTTAACACTCGACCTCGTCCGTTTCTCCTCGGGAGGCCGTCTGTTCTCCTGGGACTAAGGAATCTAGAGTGGAAGAGGACGAGTTCTCGTCTTTATGGAGTGGGTCCATTTCTAGTGCGTACCACCTAACTCCCATCTATTCTTCAATGTCCCTGTTGTCGAACCTGGCACGTACGAGGCAGACGTATTACTATTATGCTGTAAGAAATCTGGACGGCAGCAAAATCCAACCTTTGGCCTCCTATGATCCGAATAATACAAATGTGGAGACCACTTACACAGATACAAACACAAACATTTCTACAACTGTTGGTGGCAGTGCATGCTCGGTGATTGGGAAGACTACTTCATTTGAGGAGCGCCAAAATCAGCGAGGCACTTCTACATCCGGACGGATCCCGACCGTAAATATGCTCAACACTTTTTCTTCTGGTTTAGTGTCCGGGCCAAACCCCAATCACCCCTAACACAACATATCAGCTAGGACATAAGATCCTCCGAGAAACATTCTTTTGGGGGCCTCGTTCCTTATCTCAATGGATGCTGTTCAATTTGTGTAAAATCGGCCATAGTCTCGTGTGGCGTTCGAACAGATTTTACCACCAAGCCCTCCACAACATTCTAGGTCGGCAAGACCTCAAACTGGCATTCACATTGCTGATCCGACCAATCGCCCCGTAACGTTCCATCTAGAAGTTGTGATCTGGGCAAACTAAAGACAAGGGCAAGGCCCCCTTAGTGCTTGAGAGTGTGGTGGTGGTCGAGCCATGGCAGAGCTCGGTTGGAGGGAGCTTGGCCAAGGTTGCTAAGCTATACAAAGTTTTGTCCGCTGACTTTGGTTCGATGAGGGCACCCGAACCACAACCGGTCGAGCAGGGAGATGAAAAGCCTCACGCCCCGGTTACGGAGGAGGACATTGACTTTGACAGCTTATACGATTGCGAGATAGGGAGGACAGCCCTAGGCTTCCTCAATGAGAAATTTGAGGAGTTCCTCATGCTGGGGGAAGAGTTTAGGATCTGGTCGCCAAGAACTTCCAATTTTATGGTGGCTTCGGATGACCCGACCGTTACGCGGCGAGGCTTCAATGTATATAGAGCCGCCTTTGAGGTCGACCTTCTTTTTCCTCTTCATCCATTCGTCCAGGAGTTGTTGGACGAATATCAAATTACTTTGTTCTAGATGAGGCCGAACAACTTGGCAAATATTTTATGGTATTTGGTGACATGCCTTAGGATGGGCTTCACCCCTAATTTCTCAGTCTTCTACGCTATGTACAACATGGTGAAATTGAAAGCAGAAGTGGATGGGTGATGGTGGTTTGTCTTGAACACCCGTCCTAAGTACATGGTCATCCTGCACAAGCCTTCGAAATGGCGGGACTGGAAGTAAAGGTTCTACCTCGTTCGATGCAAAGATCAAAACTTTAACACGAAGATGAACAATTTTAACTATTCTTCTATTCAGCTTGGACGAGGGGATCATAGACCATACCGCCCCTAGTACATCCGCACCATGCACATAATGCTAAGTGACATTTATGTCACTTTAAGTGGTGTTTTTAAAGTCGTTTTTCGGCTTATTTTCTAATATTTTAGCTCGCTTTATCCTTTATTTACTTCTTGTCAATACTTGTCTCTTGTTTTGAGTTATTTTGTTATCTTTTAATAGTTTTTAGCTTATTTTTGTAATTTATTTAAATTCTTTTATTTACAATGTTTATGTTTTATGTTTTTAGTTCTTGATATATAATAATTTCCTAGTTTCTCTCATTTTCTTATTTGTTTTAATTTAGTCCTTTATTTTGTTTTATTAGTTTTATTTCTACTTTGTTTTATTTTCTTATTTTAGTTTTTATCCAAAATTTTCTCGGTTTTCTTGGTTTGTATAGGTATGTATTCTGGTAGAAGCACAAATTTCAAGGTCAAAAGGGTTTGCATTAGGAGTTTGGGATTCGAGTCAATCAAGTACAACAAATCTCCTATTGGTACCCTTGTTGCTGCCCGTTAACCATCACCACTCCCTGACCTATCCTCCACCACACCATGATAGTACCATCCTGTAGGGAATATTTCAAGCATTACTCCTAGCTTGAACCCCACTGTAATCATACACTAAAGTACGGTGGCGTCCAAAGGGAAGGAAGATAGAGCAAAAGAGTCGCCAACAAGTTTTAGGAACTTGTAAACCGTTCACGAGGTGAAGGTACACCCCTTTACGATCCAGGAGATCGTCAAATCCAATAGGTCTGGAACCATGACTGGTAGTTTGGGGATGAAGGTACAAATCCAACCTAAAAGAGATTGAACCTGCCCTAATAATAGGCCTCTACTTTATTCTAACCGTATTCATGTGCGCTTTCTAACTAACATACAATCAATAGGTTAACCCTAAACCTGTTTAATCTATGTTGGTTGAATATTAATGCACAAATACACTATTATTGGCGATCACTTGAATTATAATAAAATAAACCCTTAACAAGATTTTTAATTATCTTATTAAGCGTGATAAAAAGTACCAATTCCCTTTAAACATGCATAAAAGGTGTGATCAAGCAATAACAATAAATAAATCAAGCATTATAATAATAATCATGAATCATAAAAATAATCATAATAATAAAAAATATTATAATAATCATAATCAAAATATTCATGTTAAAGCATAATATTAATAGCAAGATCTTAGGCATGATACTAACAAGATTAATAATAAACCCCAGCATGTCACTAAACAATAAAAATCAAAGCTTTTACCCTAACATGA